TGGTAAAAGAGTAGCCAAAGAGTTGGCGGTGGGTGATGATGACTAGCTGCCTTCCCTCTAGTCTTACACTGCTAAATTAGGGACGGCTAGTAGCAGATAGCCCTCGTGTAGCTTTTGACGCGAAATTAAAAACAAATAATTCTTATAAAGAATGTTAGTTGAAATAATTTGTTAAATATTTTGTCCAAAAAAAAAACTGAAAAATTAGTTTTGAAACAATATCATATTATTCTTTGCAAAAAACATGCCATTTTTTATGTAAAGGTTTTTATTTAAATATATTTGTCATACCATAAATAAAAATTTTCAGTAAGAATAATGAACAAAGTATTTCTCCGTGCAATAAAATTGTGCTCCATATTTGAGGAGCAGCTATGCAATAAACATCCCGAAGACAAGATTATAAAGAAACATGGTATGTTAAGACTTGTAGAAACCCGTTCCTCACACTCATTAAATCACAAGACAAGCATTTGCTCAAAAGTAAGTATAAGATTATAATTTTTGGAAATAATCAAGTTTTATATTTATACTAAAATAATCAACTGCTCACAAATATATTAGTTTCTAACGTGCATCAAGTAATGCTGACAGGATGTAAACAACAGAAATTCTCGTATCACCTAATTCCATCTGGCAGATACCTGAGGCTGTTTGGGTAGTTGAGGTGGGACAGAAGGTAGAAGATTCTTTTAGAAAGGAAGTCAAAGAAAAATTGATCTTATAACTCTGGTTTCAATTTGAGACAAATACTATTTCCACATTCTATAATATTTAACACTATTTGAACTTCAGGAGAGTACAGTTGAGTAAGCAAACGTGTGTTTTTGTGTGCACAATGTTTTTTAGTTATCAGAAACATAAAAAATAGATTCTTATGAGAACTCTTTAACCCATTCACTGCGACTGGGAAATATATTACCCAGTCCACTGGGAAATATACATCCCAGCTGCAGTGAAAGGGTTTATTTCTTGAATAATATGTACAGAGGGTCATTTTGTATATTATGGAAATGCTGGTAAATTAGCTACCATTTCCCTGCAAATGTCAAGATGGTCCTGGAACTACAGTTATATTATGTGGTAGCTATTGTTTCACATATAGAAGTAAGGTGCACCTTTTGGTTTGTAAGATGTCTGAAAACTTTATTGATGGCAGAAGAAAAATAAACACACATGAGATTTAAAATAGATGTAAGGCCAGAATATTTTAAAGAAAGTACTATTCCATGTTTTCATGATGCAAGATGAGAACTAATCACACATGAGATTTTAAATTGATGTTGGACAAGAGGATTTTAAGGAAAGTAGTTCTTCATGATTGTAGGATTGACTGGAACAATGAGCTTAAAAGTCATATGCAAGCCAATCAGAATGAGCTCCCACGTTGCAAAACGAAGGCTATTGTTACTCAGAAGAGAAGTCTCCAACCAAACAAAATCAATGCAATAAACCTAGACATATCTCCTGGTACTGTTAACAAGATAATAATGAAGGATGTAAAGTTATATGAAAATTCACAAGCTTCTAGCCATACCATGAAAACCAGTATCTGTTTCATTGAGAAAGATAGCACAAGAAGCTGGAAACACAGTGATTTCATTTGACTACATACCTGTTACATACCCCTGATGCAACTCCAATTGACTTTGTTTATCTAAGAACATGATTGGAGGCCACAGACTAAAGTTATTTGTCGATTTATGAAAAGCTGCACAAGAACATTGGGACAACCAACTGATATGGCTGTTCCCCAAAGAAGCCTTACGTAATGGAAATGTTGTTGATGGGCAATTATTAAGAAGAAGATAAAGCATGATCTTTAGGGCAAATATGGCCTTCAATGTTAATATGTTGAACTTCATTATAATTTCATGGTCTTCTGTACATGTAAAAAACAAATCTACAGATGAACTGTTATTATCTTTAGAAGACTTAACCTCTAACCTCCTGACCAAGCTGCATGCCTCACTATATACCTCTGCAATTTTAAATACAGTGATGCTTGCCTTATATTTTTAGAACTGCAGGAAGTTTTATTTTCTTATAATTTTCATGTGTTTTAGACTGTCAAGCTTAGGGATACATGTTTTTTAACAAAAGTGTAAAAACATTTTCTACAATTTTTCACATATACTCATTTTTCAATTGGTTATAGTTGTAAGGGTACACCTGCTGAAAGTGCCAGTGTTCTTTATTTTTTTGTTTTGCTTATTGAATGTTAGATACTAACCTTTTTTTTTGATCCTATCTACATATTTATGATCATGGTTGTGAGGGTGAAACCTTGAGTCACAAAAGTTCTCTGTTCTAAGCTGTGGTTGATAATTGTAAGCTCTGCATAACTAGTAGGACTTGGTAGGTTCTGCCTGTATTTGCTGATTGTATTTATAACATATCATTACTTCCCTTCTAAATTGAGTTAAAGAGGAGAAAATTTTATTTTATTATAACATTTGTATAGTGCACTAACTTTATAAATTACAGGAATTGTTTACGGTGAGATACGTGTAATTTAATGCTAAGAAATGAATGTGTTAGCAATTCATTAATGGTCCACTTAATTTCCTTCACATGTACTCTATCATTTTTCAAAAAGTTAAAAGTAAGAGATGTGTTCATAGACTTAAGGTTAATTGAATATATATATACTTGAATTGAAATTGCTCAGCCAAACATATCAGAGAAATTATACCAACTACAGAACATTGCAGAATGTGTAATTCCAGAAAGATATAATTGTTATGATAGCACCCAAAAAAACATTGGGAATATCTCATCTCTCCAATTATTAGGGACGGCTAGCGCAGATAGCCCTCGTGTAGCTTTGCGCGAAATTCAAAACAAACAATCATCAAGAAAAAATAAATCGGTTTATTTCTGACAACGAACACATCTAACCAGTTAGATCCTCATAGCATTTCTTCCCGTCCAATCACTTTGGCTGAATTAAGAATTAATATCAAACAACTTAAAAATAACAGCGCCCCTGGCGAAGACGGAATAAACAATCTTAGTATTAATAATCTCCATGAAAACTTCCTAAATCTTCTCGTCACCCTTTTTAATTTATCCTTCCTTACTGGTTACGATCCTTCATGTTGGAAAACCGCTATTATTATAGTCATCCCTAAATCCACAATCAATCTTCAAGATCCTTCCAACTATAAACCCATCAGCCTCTTAAATAATATAGGTAAATTAGTGGAAAAAAATTATCGCTAATACATTATTATTTCATTTGGAATCTGAAAATATTTTAACTAACATACAAAATGCATCACGTCGTAAAAGATAAACAGCCAATCATTTAGTGAGACTGACTGAATCGGTAATTCAAGCTCTTAATAGAAATCATGTAGCAGTGGGAGTCTTTCTTGACGTCAGAAAGGCATTCAACTCTATAAATTATCCAAGTTAAACTTACCAACTAATATAATTTGGTGGATTGCCAATTTTTTATTCAACAGAGTCGGTAAAGTCAGAATAAATAATAAACTATCTGAGCCTTTTAATCTAAAAGCAAGTGTCCCCCAGGGTTCTGTAATTAGCCTATTTATATATATATTATTTATAAATGATATACCGTTTACCCAGTTACCTACAACCCACGCGTCCCAGTATGCTGTTTGGAGCACGTCATGTAACCCATTAACTGAGGCTCGTCAAGTTCAGACTTCTTTAAACGCTATAACATCTTGGTGTAAAAGTGGCGGGTCACTTTAAATAAATAAAAATCGCAGGCCATTATCTTTTATAGATGCTTTAAAAAAACAAAAAAAAACAGAAGCAACAGCTAGACTATAACTTTATGACTCCAACATTATTTTCACCAAATGTAGGAAATTTCTTGGTATTAAGTTTAATTCTAAATCTACCTGGACTGAACACATTAATACTGTTATGTCTCTGGTCGTTAGTTAATTTTCCGTAAAAATTCTTTCCGAAGGAACTTTAGCGATACAAGTCCTTTCTTAAATAAAACTGGTTTATTCTTTCTGAATACAACTTTGCAATACACCTAATTTTCACAG